AGTATAGGACGGGCATTTAAAAATGCAGTCTTTTAATTGGTCTTTTTTGGTGATAGAGCTGGTCCCCAGGAGCTGACAACAGCCGATGCTGTGACGACGGATACGTGAGTCATGTGCAGAGGAGGTTCTGGGATGGCCACGGGGTCAGTGAAAGGATACATTTACGGGCTTTTTACTCAGCCAAAAAAGTTTGGGTTTTATCTTTGGGCAAGAAGAGAGGTCAACAAAGAAGGAATGATTTATTTATCCCTATTTTTCCTGTCAGACTCCAGGTTAGGTGACTTGGCTTGAACTTTGAGAAACGAATAATCACTAGATTTATCTACAGTTGTAGGAACACAGGCTTCTTTCTCCTGGGCTGTCTATATTACTAATTTATCCAGTTTATCTCTGCTGTATTTTTGTTCTGCGTTGCCTAAACACGTGGGTTCTCTTCCTTTGCTATTGTGAGCAGAGACAGAGGCAAATAAATAGGAACTTATGCTCTGTTGTGTGGTTACTTAGAGAGACTCTTGTTTGCAAGCAAAGGATATACAAAGACACAAATAGCCTCATTTGATGTAGCTTGCAGATGTACTTCATTAAAAATATTGCCACAGGGTCCCCCCACTCTGCCCTTCGTTGCTTACCACTGGAGCTGATTGCAGCGGCAGCAGCAGCATCTCTCAAAGCAGAACTGATCAAGAGCGCTGTAACACGATGGCATTTCAGAAGGAACAGGTGCAAAATCTGTATGTCTCTCCTCCTCCTCTCCTGACTTTCCAACCCCTTGTTCCTCTAGATGTATAAATAAATAAAGGAAAAATACTGTTTACAGCACAAGACAGCAGCTTAATAACATCTCACTTACACGACCTAGTGCATGTCCATCTTTCTCCCTCACCCTGTCACCAGAGCCAGGCAGTTAAGGCACGCTATCCTGCAATACGAAACGCAACTGCTTGTATTTTTATGGGGATTGGCTGCCAGTTTCGGGAACTTCCTGGTGGGCAACCTGCAAGCTGTGACTGTAGCTGCCAGCTCACCAGCCAAGTCCAGCCCTTCGTCCGCTGGGGAGGACACCTGCAGTTCTCCTGCAAAGGCTCCCAGGTTGGCACTGCCATCCTCCTTGGAGCAGGAGCTGCCGCGGAGCGACCGGCATGGTGGGTCCCGCTCCCATGGTGCTGCCATGATATGAATAATATATCAGCCGAGCTGTCATGAACTCCATTGCCATCAAAAACAGAGAGAGCACTAATGCTATATGCCCACACTTGTTCTGGTTCAAGCTGTGTTTAAAATAAAATGTAGGAATCCCAGAGCTGGGTGCGACAGAAGTAAAAGGGTCCTAGAGCAAGAGTTGCCTTGTGCTAACAAACGGCTGTGTGGTGCCGGTCACACCAGCCTCCTGCCCAAAGAGTGTAGCGAGGATTTAGGATTACTAGGAGGCTATTTAGGACACGGGACTGATGCAAAAGCAGACTGCAAACTCTGGACCGTAGAAACATCTCAGGCATTTCAGAAGAAACACCTGTGTAGAAATCCCTCCACTGAACACAAGGTTATCATCAAATGATCATAATGGCCACAACGACACAATGATGTAGCTGCTTTCCAAGCAGCACTCACTCCTGGGGAAACGCTCCAGGTGTTTTCAGTGCCCAAGTGAGCCTCAGGTCTCCATCCCTCGGCCTTGATGCTCTCCTTCAAAGGTTGTTAGTAGCCGAGTATTAATTTTAAGGGAAGGGCATGCCTCCAGGACGGCACGAACACCTCCAGCTCCAAGCGACAGACACACACGCGTCCAGACGCTTCAGGGCAGTGCCAGCCCAGCCCAGCTGCCATTTTCACAGTCCCTATTCTGCCCTTAATTATGAGTTTAAGTGATGGCTAATAAAGATGATACTAAGCAAATAAATTGAACTGCTGCTCTAATTAAGTGGCTTTTGCTGCATGCGATGAGCCAGATCTGGCTGTGTCGGAGTTCAGCAGAAGCCAATGGGGTTCCATTACGGATTAATTTGAATTGTGAATGCGAATTGCTTCAAGCAGGAAAATGCAGCACTCGTTTCCATCCCTGCTCGCCAAGAAATGCTGGCCCGTTCCTTAGACAGTCGTCCTGAGCAAGCGCACAACCATTCACACACAGTTCATTTGATTGTACCTGCTTTTACTGCAAGTACGTTAATGCGAGACCTTCCACCGCTCATGGAAGGGAAGCTTAAAGCTGTCAGGAAGCAGCAATTGTTTTCTTCACCAGACAGTAATACAAAATAATGCAAAATACTTCACAGCCCTGCCTCTGCTTTCCAATCAGTCCCATTCAGCAGAGACAAGGAGCTGTTACTGCTGGACGTATGCTTACTTGATAGATGAAATGAGCTGACATTTCCCCTTGGCAAATTGCAACAAAAGGTTTTTGAAGGCATTCATTTTGTTTCACAAGTAGGGGTTGATGCCAGCGTAGGGCAAATGTGAAGGACGGCTTAAATGGAGAGAGCCCACGCTGTGACTGTCTTGTGGAGATACAGCTTTAATTTCAGGAGCCCAGACTCCCAAACCACAGCTCACGCTCCCACACGCATCCGCTCTCCAGAGCATGCACTGCCCAGCCATCTGTGCAGGTACAGCTCAAATATTTGGCAAGGTGCAGGATATTTCTCCTCCCTCTGCTGTATTTTCCAGGGAAGAGTGTGGTCTAAGCCACGGAGCTGCAAGGAGCACCACATCTTCTGTGACCACAGCTGGTATTTTAAAATCCACTTGCCTCGGAGAAGAGCCGGTACGTGGTCCTTGAGCAGGACTCCAGCTGAGGCCATGCACGATGTCTTGTAACATGTCCTGGCATAACTAAAAATGGGATCAGCATTCAGCCGGTGCCCGCTCTCTTCTCCCTAGTGTAGATAACCTTATGTCCCTTCAGGTGCTGGGGACCCTGCGCTGTGCCGCCCCGGACGGACCTCCGACGCCAGCAGGGCACGGCGCGCTGCGCGGATCCCGTCCGCGGAGAGGTCTGCCAGCGTTTGGCTCTTTAGAGCTCTCTTAGGATTTTCTTAGAAGAAAGCAATCCTATCCAGCATCTCTACCGCCAAGTGGAGGGACGGTCACATGAGGGCACGCTGCTTCGCTTTCAGATAAAGACAAGGAGCTGCAGGTGCTGTAATCGCCCGTGCCAAGTGGGAGCCCTCACTTTTTTTTTTCTCGTGCCCCCTCTCCCACCTCCTGGACTCCCAGTTGCTATGAGATGTTTCAGCTCGAAAAAGAAGACTCTTTTCCCTGAAAACTGTAAGGAAAAGGGAGCGAGGCTTTGGAATGGGAGATCCCTCGAGGGGAAAGGACGGGCTTGCGGTTAAACCATGGGATCGGGAGTCAGCAGCTTTGGGTTTCTCATCCCCTGGCTCTCTGGGCTTTGACTCACCCAGTGACCTCTGCTCGGTTCATCCGTGCTCGGCTTCCCCATCTGGAAAACCAGCGCGATGACACACGGCCCTGACTGTGCACGGCAATTTAGAGCTGCTGGTGACTGTCACGTATGCCTTGCAAAGGGCCTGGCAGAGAAACCAGGCCTGCAGGCATGCAAGACCCTCTTCGGCAAAGCTTTCCACCGGTGCTGACCAAGGGAGCTGCAAACAGCTCCTTCTTTTAAGCGTTTAGCCCATATTTAAACACTGACCTCAGTGCCAGTCACCACCGCTCAAGCCTCGGATTTCCCGGGGGGAGCACGGTTTGAGGC